AATAAACGTTCCCCACTGCTGCTTAATAAGCATTTAATTATCGATAGCTATACCTGCTCTTCAAAGAAAGCCAAATACTTGAGGCCAGAGATTTTTTTCTGACACCAAAATACACCAAGTGACTTTCAAGTCAATTGGCCATGATGTTCCTTCATGTGTTCATTTCTTCAAGAAGCTTTATTTGAAAACCTACCGGTCCTTTGTACATTACCCTCGCACATCTAATCAGTTGGATGCTGTGGGTTCTACGTGCCTATAGTCTCTGTCACGGAGGCGCAGGGTTACAGCAGAAGGTGATATGGTGGAATGAGCCCAGGCTGTGGATGTGGTCAGAAGCACCTGATGCCTCTGCTGTTTGCCATCGGGCAAATTACTAAATTATCTAAGGTTCAATTTTTGTATCTTTCCATCAAAGTTAAGAAAACACATATCTAAACCATACTGCTTAGCACAAAGCACACAAATACTGGTTGCTCTTTTTTTCTTCCTTCCAAATGCCTTCAATGACTCTTTTCCTAATGCTTGCCGACTAAAATGTCAACTTCTTAGTATCAAGAACCCTGAGGTCTTCTTCAGCCCCACGTTTACGATCATTCCTCATACTGGTCTCTCTCACAGGTGCCGTGCTCTCCTCCAGTGGTCCTCAAATGTGGCTGCACATCAGAATGATTCTGGGGTAATTTTAAAAGTACCATGTCCCGGGGCGCCTGCGTGGCGCAGTCGGTTAAGCGTCCGACTTCAGCCAGGTCACGATCTCACGGTCCGTGAGTTCGAGCCCCACGTCGGGCTCTGGGCTGATGGCTCAGAGCCTGGAGCCTGTTTCCGATTCTGTGTCTCCCTGTCTCTCTGCCCCTCGCCCGTTCATGCTCTGTCTCTCTCTGTCCCAAAAAATAAATAAACGTTGAAAAAAAAAATTTATTAAAGAAATAGTAGTTTCCCAAACTATTGTTTTGCTCTGAATTTTTTTCAGTATAGTTTAAGTATCAAAACTAAGCAATGACTTTGAAGTAATTATCTTGGAAAGGAAAATAGGTCATATTGTTTTCATTTTCCCTTAATTGTTAGCAGTACTGACTTGATCTGTTTTCAGTGACCAAACTTAAAAATCTATACATTATTCAGCATTTATTGGATGTTTTTCTGATGTGACAACCTGCAAGAAAGTTGCAATATAGGTAATATATGAAGAAAAATTGTAAGTTACTAGTTTTAAAATCCTTAGGCAAGCTACTTTACTTCTAGCTTCTGTTTCCTTGGTTATAAAATATGGAGGTTTAATGCCCTCCTCAAAGAGATGTTGTGACAATTAAGATCAAATTTCTAAATTGCCTTAACTGGCCCACGAGGAGAACTCAGCCTTCCCTCAAAAGCACACACACCTAGTTTGGGGAAACAAGAACGTGCATGTAAATGACTATAATGCAGTGTGAAATGAAGCATGTTGAAAGAAACCGTGGCACAGCTTCAGAGGAGGGAGAGAACTTTTCCTACCATGTTTACGTTCCTACCATGTTACACAGGGAGACTTTAAGTAGGAGGTAACATTTTCACGGTGGCAGCTGGAATGAGTGAGAGGGCATTTTGAGGAAAATAGCAGGTTGTGTTTGGGGCCTGGGAGGCAGACAACACTGAGGAGACCCCAGGTTCTTAATCCTGACTACACATTACCACTTGAGGAACTTAAAAATAAGTCAGTGCCCAGGCCCCCGCCAAGAGTAAATAAATAAATTAGAGATTCTTCATGGTAGAGATGGGACATGGTACTTTTTTTTTTTTTTTTTTTTTTTT